TTGGCTCAGTATCCGAGTTAATTATCTTTAATAATAATCTTTATTTCAGGATTACCCAAAGGCTGACGCCTATCGGGGGGATCTTCTATTTGTGTATATACAATGAACATTGGAGTTGGGAAAAAGAGAAAATGTGCAAAATGAGTTCGGAAACAGAGGGATGCTGTACAAAAGATGCAGTGAAAGAACAAGCAGTGTACATGTAAAATTATTATTATATAATTATTTTATTTTTCGAATAGATCCTTGCATTGAGCACTTACCATCGAACATTTAGAAAAGCGATCCTGTCAGCTTTTCAATTACAATGTAAGAGCTAACGACATCGCCATTGAGATACGTTGTCTACTTTTAAAAGTTTCTACATGTACGTTAGGGGTCGGTACCTGGACCAGGGAACACTCCATGGCTCCTACTATCGCGTGGCCAGCCGCGTGCGTGTGCATGGCTGTCATTGTTAAAGCCATTTCGGATGTGCATGCACGAGAAACTTCCTTCTTTGGAACTGCTTCTTGCATGAGCTGTTTCGGATAATTCGTCTCCTGGCCTGACTTATTTCGCTTCGGCGCTGCTGAGACCTCATTTCAACGAATTTTACTCAATGACAGGTGAGTTGACCAGTCCCCTTTGATTCATTTGCTTGTGTTGACTCTTTCATTTACGAAAAGTGTGCTGCTTTTAGGTGGAATGCAATAGATAGTGGAAAAGCTGACAGGATTTCTTTTCTAAATTTAGATATTCCGCTGTCGAAGCCTCCTTTTACGGAATACTCCATGACAGGTGATCCCTGAGTTGACCAGTATCCTTCGATTCATTTGCTTATGCTCACCCTTTCATTAAAGAAAACGTGGGCTGAGTTTATTCGGATTTAGATGCATTTGTATCTCTTTGCCGTTGCCTACAGTGTGCGAAGAACGCGAGTTCACCTTCTTGACAGTAATGCTTATGTTGTTGCTGAGGCTTAGATGTGTTGTGGAAATACTCATGTTCATTGTACATTGGTACGTTACAAGTACGGCACTGGCATTGCTTCCGGCATTCCGTGCCCCAATCATAGAGCAGAATGTGAATTTTGCAGTGAAGAATTTGGTGAAGAATCATCAGAGTGAAGAAGGAGAAACAAAGATACATGCTATTACATTTTTAGTAGGGCCAACTCGCACGGCCAAAACTATCTATAACACAAGTGGACCCATCAAAGCCGCTGGGAGCCCAAAGAGGCACAGGGGTAGGGTTAATTGAATTGTGTTCGTGAAAGCATGCAGATGTGTTGGGTGCCGTGTTTGGACTATAGGATAATATTACCCATATAAAAACCGCTCTGTGAGCGGTTCTGAAAAACCTTTACTGGTACTGCCCCGTCGTAAAAGTAAGAAATTAGAACTGGCCCATTGTCCCCCCAAATGCGAACTGATCCACCTAAATCGCGAACGACGGGACCCGAACGCACCAGTAGCACGAGGTCGGGAGGGCACAGGACAGCAATTATCATAGGGTAACACCACCTAACGCTAGTACAATACATGGCCTATAGTCCGGACCAACGTCCCCATCTGCATCCACAGGTAGGAACCTCGTTCTACTGGTGCGTTCGGATCCCGTCATTCGCGATTTAGGTGGATCAGTTCGCATTTGGGGGGACAATGGGCCAGTTCTAATTTCTTACTTTTACGACGGGGCAGTACCAGTAAAGGTTTTTCAGAACCGCTCACAGAGCGATTTTTATATGGATAATTTCAGTTCTTTTTCCGTTCCCTCCCCACCCCAACCCCGAAGGTAAACATGATGACCACGCGCGCGATGTACTGTATGTAGCCATGAGACTGCAATAACACACTGATACATACCAGCCCTCCCCGCCTCGCTATCCCGCACACAGATACACAAACATGCGTATGCACACGGCACGCACACGTGGCCACGCACATGCACACGACTCAAACAGGAAATTCTTCATATATAATGCCATGCAAAGCAGTGGCCACCGTACTTGAGGAAGTCAGTTGTGAAACAAAAATAATTCAACTACAGCGTGTAGACAAGCTGACGGCCAAAGCACAACATAGCAAACATGACATTTGCCCAAGGATTGCAGTTTGCAGATCACGCCATGGAAGCAGCGAATACAGAATGTAATATCATACAAAGTGACAAGCAAGGAAGTGGCCATCATACACCAGAAACTTGCAGAAAGTCACCCATCCAACAGATAGAGAAGTGAACAGCAATCTGATACAGCCCACACAGGACAAAGCTGACCTGATACTCGTCCCAGGATCGCAAGTGGCAAATCCTTTTCAATGCATAACATGCAGGTGTACGTTAGGTGCATGGACAACATGTGACCGTGTCGCCAGCATACAATGTCATCACATGTTTACCCCACAAGTTACACACATGCACAGTAGAAGCACAATGAAAGCAATGGAAAAGTACGATGTGGTTGCTGAAGCATCTTCACACTTCAAATTCAGACTTCAAAGTGGTCGTCACGGGATGATATACCTGCAAGATACAAGTGATGAAGAAAGAAGGCAGAAGGTCGTGAGGTAGGCTATGAGTAGCCCTTTCCCAAAGATGCCATAGTTTTTCGCAACTTATGCTTATCGCAACCGTGCCAAAACAAGTGCTAGATGCTGAAATCGCATCCATATTTTGAGAAAAAGCTCAAAAGTTTTCAACATTGCAACTCAAAATTGGAGAGTTCTTGTGCAAAACCTACAAAACAGGGAGCAGAAATAGCAGAAATGCAGCGATGCTGTAACAGCAAACTCGTACACCCCTTCCTGCTGTGAACCACCACTTTACACATTGCCAGTAGCCTGTTGCATGTATCCTACATGTACATGTACATCATTACAGTGCACGGAAAAGGGAATGCACATAATTATCGTAACTACCGTTGATCTACTGTTTCTCAGAAATGAGCCTGAAGGCAGGCGAGAAATGAGCGAGCACGAGTATGTATTTGTCCAACAATGCAACATGTAGTCGGTGACTTGACCTTTTAACCCCATGCCATGGGCCAATTGCGCCAAGGTTGCGGAGAAGTTGCGAAATAGTTCCGGAAAATGAAGAAAGTTGCGAAAGTTGCGATTTCTTCCTAAACAACGAAAAGTTCCGAAAAAAGTGGCCAGCATCTTTGGGAAAGGGCTAGCTATGAGACACCACAAACGGGTGACCTTCATGTATGTTCAGGGCTAGTGCACTCACACGCAGAATTGTCATAATCGAGCATTTCCCAAACTGAGAAGTGCAATGAAATCCACTTGCATGCACAGGAGCAATTTTGCAATGTTATGATGCGCAATTCGACACGATCTGCGATGCTGCGTGCGATGTGCCCTGCTGTCATGCTTGGCAATGTCTTTGCATTGATTAACTTTTATCCTAGTTATGTCACGGGTAACTTTAATGAAGTACCCGCAGGCCGTGCCGATCCGCACGTAGTCCACTCTCTCATGTACTTGGCCTGCTTTGTCTGTGTATCCATTTCATGTGCGATCCACAAAATCGACTAGCTCTCTATCTGAAGACGTTCTTCTGGCGACCGCCATGTACTTTGTCTGTGTATCCATTTTCATGTGCGATCGGCAGAATCTCGATGCACTACAGAGGCTAGACAGTGGGTGCAATACGCTCTCTATCTGAAGACGTAAACCATTAAATTTTTTGGAAAAGTTATACGTACACCTGAAACGTAATGAAGTACAGGAATAGAGAGAGTGACTACAATACGCTCTCGACCTGATAATTATAGTGATAACGTGTTAGCAGGTAACAGGTCTACAGTCCCACCGTACCCTTCCGACACGACTGTAGACCATTAAATTGTTTTGAGAAGTTATACGTACACCTTAAACGTAATGAAGTACAGGAATAGAGAGAGTGACTACAACACGCGCTCGACCTGATAACGTGAGTACAAGACACTCTCCACCTGATAACGTGTTCGTAGAAGGTAACTGGCAACATATCAATGGGTTGCCTTACCGTGGTCTAGAGGAGACGTCTTCGCAGCAATATTTCCCCTCCTGCGCATTCAGTCGCCGACGCGACAGCGCTCACTGGGCCGTTCCAGTTGCGGAAGACATTCGATTCATCGGGCCAATTCAGCAGCAGGGCCGTGGACACACAAGGGGCAGAGGAGAGACATTGATAGTGGACAAGAAATATGCAGTGGCAAGTGGCGAGTGCCGCATGGATGTCAAGTTGTCATGCACAATTCAGCTACAGTCAGTATCGCCTATAGCGTTGGTGTTTGATTTTGAGCATTTTATCACTATAAGCGATATATTACTATGACCGATACTGCATGAAATGTATGCGAGTGGGGTGTCAAACGACTCAGCGCGCCGTGCACATACGCACAACATACATGTACAATGTCATGTAGCTGGCCGTAGCTCCTGACACAGAAAATCAGCATTTCCTCACGATGGAGGCCTGTTTTGGCAACTTGTACGAGTAAAACTCACCAAACAATACTCACTGGACAAGTTCTTCACGATAAAGTAACACCCTGTTCTCCTCTAACATCGCTTGATTTTACATTAATCACTATAACCGATGCAAAAATAATGTAATAAAGGTCTTTTGAAATATGAATTTGATCACTATAGGCGATATATTACTATAGACGATTATTACTATCCGCGATAACTGTGTATACTTAGTTATGGCAAATGAAAATGAATTTGAGAAATTGATCACTATATCCGGTATATTACTATAGCCGCCAACCTTATAGGCGATACGGACTGTATTACTTACGGTCCAGCTAGTC